TCACTATTATCATCATTATTACTATTATCATTATTATTATTGTTATTGTTATAGACATAATTATAATTGTTATCATCATTTTTATTATCATTATCATTATTATTATTATTATTATTATTACTGTTATTATTATTATCATTATTATTATTATTACTGTTATTATTATTATTATTGTCATCGCCATTATGATTATAATTAACATTATTATTATCATCATTATTATTATTGTTGTTAGTATCATAATTATCTTCATCATTATTATTATCATCAGTATTATCATTATCATTTATTATTATCATCAGTTTTATCATTATCATTATTGTTATTATTATCATGATCATTATGATTATCAATATAATCATTATTATTATCAACATCATTATTATTATTATCATCAGTATTATTATCATTATTGCCATTATTACTGATGTCATTACTATTATTATTATTATTTTTTGACTGGTCTAGACCAACAAAACTAGCTAGCTTAATTTCAAAGAAACACAAATTCATTTCTATTATCATTCTTTTTTTTCTTTGTTACCATTTTTAGGAATATACTGTTATTCTTTTATTTACCCTTTTCTCATTTGCTTGATTCGTTATTATTGTCATTATTATCATTGCCATTATCATTATTAATGCTATTACTATTATCATTATTAATGCTATTACTCTTATCATTATTAATGCTATTACTATTATCATTATCAATGCTATTATCATTACCATTAGTATTATTGTAAAATTAATTATATATACATCAATTTCAGTACAGTAATTCTCATTCAACCAGCTTTCTTCTCAACCAAAATCAGAATAAACGTCATACGCTTTTGTTGCGGAGGAGAAGCGAGTAGATAAGGAGAGAGACGGAAGAAGGTGAATAATAAAGAGAGAAAACAAAAGTGGTTAAAGGTATTGGCATGGAAAGAAAGGGTAAAGGACATGGAGAGAAGAGAAAATGGGTAGAAAGCATGGATTTTTTTTAAAATGAGGAGAAGAGAAAGAGAGAAGGCAAAGGGAGATAAATAAGGTTTAAGAAGAAAGAGAAGAGGAGTCATGGAATCGAAGAAATTAAGGGAATAGACAGAAGATAGTCGAGGTAGAAGACATGGGAAGAAATAAAAAAGAGGGGTTAGAGGACAGGAGGAAAGAGAAGAATCAAAGAACAAGAAAACAAGAAGAGAAAAGAGAGGAGGTGGTGGGTAAGGGGAGAAGAGAGGAAAGGTAGAGGTCAAGGGAGAAGAAAGAAGAAAGAAGAGAGAAGAGAGAAGGAAGGTACCGGGGCAGGTTGGAATTTTGCCCGCTTGCCCCTTTTTTTCTTCCTACCAAAATGCCCACTTAGCCAGTACCAGGGAAAGGAATGTGACCCTCTGGATAAGCCCTTCTGTAAGACACGTCACCGGCGTTTGGAAGGACAGGGAAAAGTACGAAGACGAGTGAGAAGAGGAGGGAAAAGGAGAGAGATAAAGGAAGGGGGAGGGATGGGATGGTGGAAGGGGAAATAGAAGTGAGAAATAGATAACAAATGTAAAAAAAAGATAAAGGTAATAGACAAGTAAGTAGTTTAAAGAAAGATAGGTAGACAAATATGGAGAGAATGTTGAAAAAATAAAACATAGAGAGAACAGACAGAGAAGAAAAAGAAGAAAACAGATAGAGAAACAAACCTAATTCAACAACCACACCGAAAGAGACAAAACAATTACAAGTAAAGAAGCAAATAGGAAAGACAAAAGGTTAAACGGGGGAGGGAGCTCCATGAGGCAAAAGGATTAAGAACGTGCTTGGATGAACGACTTGCCTTAGGAAAAAAAGAGAAGAAAAAAAAAAAAACGTTCAGGAAACCGACCTGATCCGGGGCCCGCTTCCAAGAACACGCGCCCTTGGTATGAGCACAGAGTCTGAATCACGAAGGGCGCGGTGGAATAGTGTAAGTGGACGCCCTCACGTCTGGAGGCAGTCGGGCGGAGGAATCCCTCGTGTTGACAGTCACGTAGAAGGGAAACAAAGGTGCTGTCGAGATGTGTGTGTGTGAGGGGGGAGAGGGAGAGAGAGAGAGAGAGAGAGAGAGAGAGAGAGAGAGAGAGAGAGAGAGAGAGAGAGAGAGAGAGAGAGAGAGAGAGAGAGAATGCTTGTGTGTCATTATGCATGCGAATGCATGTTCCGGCTATTATATGACGATTAGTAACACAAAAAAAAAAGAAAAAAGAAGAAAAGGAAAAAAAAAAAAAAAAAAAAAAAAAAAAAAAAAAAAATATATATATATATATATATATATATATATATATATATATATATATATATATATATATATACATATATCTAAAAACCCACACATCCATAAACGCATCGCTGGCACAACACACATCCTATTGCATAAGAGAATATTCACTCATTATCAAATCCCAATCGTGCAAACAATTAATCGAACAAATCATTTCCCTTCGTTGCATAATCGGTTGATCATATCACTTTAACCTATTTCTCGTGATTACTGGTGATTACTAGTTTTTTGCCATCACTGGTGATGGCAATAAAGTGTTATTTTCCATGCTGATGATAATGCTCTTGTAAATGATAATGGTATTGCGTATTACTGGTGGGCAGTGGGTCACCGTGTCCGACAGAAAAAGCAATACGGATTAATCAAATAGATAGTTGTGAAATAAGATAATCATTGTTGTAATTAGCTTTTTGATATTGGATGGAGAGAGAGAGAGAGAGAGAAAGAGAGAGAGAGAGAGAGAGAGAGAGAAACAATATTGATTTATACATAGGTGAGGGCATCATATGAAGCCAAACAGGGTCGCTTATATGTGAAAATATAGAACAGTTTTACAAACGATGTATTAGATATTGAAAATTAAGATAATATTGATTTTACATGATAATTTGAAAAAAAAATAGAACTAAAAAAAAAAATCTGATTATTTGCTATCTCTTAATATGAATAAATATTTTGGGTATTCATTATATACTAAATACTAAAACTAATAATAGATGTCTGACAGCGTCAAACATTTCTTTCAAATTCTTATTTTTTTCTCTCTGTCTTTTGGACTTTCACTTCTTTCACCGAAATAGTTTATAAGACTGACTCGTTTTTTTCTGTTTTCTTTATATTTTCTGCTCTCTCTCTCTCTCTCTCTTTTCTCTCTTATATCAATTTATATATTAATGATGATTAGTATATTTACCGTTGCCAATGTCATCACAAGAGCTATCATTATCAATATTGACAATATAATTATCTACCCTTACTAATATCAAGGCGAATATTAATAATTGATGCTGCAGTTGTTATTGTTGTCCGTATTCTCTGTTAATATCATCATATAATGTTATTAAAACGTTTACCTTTATTTTCACGTATATTATCGTTATTATCAATACTACAATTAAAGCAATCGTAATTTTTCTGTTATCGAACAAGTCAATTTCAATACCCAATATCAATTCAGTATGTAGCATCAATTGATGAGTATTTTGTGCTTATCCAGATGTGCAGAAATTTCAAAGGGAATGTTTATCACAGAGACAGAGTGTAGATACTATTGCAATTTGCTTTCCTTTCTTCCATGATTATGTTGTTTCATTTTATTCGTATAAATTGTTATTTTCGGAAATTTCATTACTCCAAGAAATTGCAATCAGCGTGGCAGCTAATTCATCGGTTGTATTCAAAAATTCAAAACAAACTCTTAATTAATACAAGGACATCTACGTGACTTTCTGCAACGGCCAATGCAGGTATGCTGTGTTAAGTCACGTACGCATTCACCAGTTCCGTTCGCCACTGCCATTTTGAAACTATAATAATCTATTCTCGATTATTTTTTTGTAGTTGGATTGCTTCGGGCATCGATATTCTCAACGTGTCATCTCGGGATCATTTTGTGTTCGCTTTTAACAGTAATAGGCTATTGCTGCGAGCGATGTTCACTCGTTTTTGTCTCCTTCGGACATTTTTTTTTTCAGCGGGCGTCCGTCCGTCTACGGCCAGACAAGTCCGTTGGTGTGTCATTGACTCAGTGTGTCATCCACTTTCCTATCCTGCTCTCCTCCTCCTCCTCCTCCTTTGTTACACCGCTCATCAGTTGTTGCCACTCGTCACCTATTCTTGCCGTTGCCACGTATTCAAGTTTTCCCACTTCTGCTCCTTCGCCGAGTGCTTCCGGGTGTGGCATCTGTTCCTAGGCGCCTCGCGGGAGAAAGGGCGTGACTCACCCCCCAACCCCCGTCCTTCACCCCTTCCCCCCCTATCCAACTCCTACATCCACGCCCACCGCGTCACCCACCTCACCCTGCTTCTCTCCCGGGGGTTATGCAAGAGACGAGCGGCGGTGGCGGGGGAAGGACCCTTCTATGACGTCATGGCTCCTCGGTGTTTCCTTTGCTTGGTCATTCCTCAATCCGCCCCGCCGAAGTTTCCCCTTTATCAGTAGGAAAAGGGTGGCGTCGAGGTATTGGGAGCCTGTTATATTTCCCGCTTTTGATTATTTTCCGGATACTGTGCATACTGTGAACGTATAAATAAGGAATAATAGGGTTGCCATTAAAAAAAAATCACTGTTGGAAAGCTATTGCTAAGCTGTCAGTCTGACAAGGGTTGTTGACCGCCTTTGCTATTAAAAACGATGCAAAACTGAGAAGTTAGTTTTGCTTGAAAGCTTAAAACTCCATCGTTTTTTTTCCCTCAGGTGCCATCGAACATATTCCTTTTTTTCACTGTCTGTCTGTCTGTCTGTCTGTCTGCCTCTGTCTCTCTCTCTCCATCTCCCCCTCCCCCCTCTCTCTTTCCCTCTTCCTCCTTCATTCCCTACCTCTCGCCACCCCTCTCTTTCTCTCTCTCTCTCTCTTAGTGAGGCTTTGTTCCCCATCCCTTCTGATTCCCATTCCACAATCCTTCCTGGTCATCCTCATCACAGAAGCGTCACGTGCAAGCCATTTGGAGGTCCCGTCCAGCACAAAGGGCCAGCAGCGCAAACCCTTGC